CACAATCTCATAAAATAAAGACAAACTTCTTCACTACTGAGAGCTTGGAATACTTAAGTTAAACCATTTCCTTTAACATAACTTGGCCTTAATGCACTGTTCTACAAAACTGTAAGCTATTTACATTGGATTGCATCACAAAACTTGGCACTTTAAACAAGGAGACTGTACGTTACTGTAACATCCTGTATTTTGGTACATTTCAGATATTGCTAGGACATCTGAACTATGTCAAGACAATGGGACATTTTTTAAACATGCTTATTCTTAAATTATTATGTTTTCGGCTTACTCACGTAATAATTTGACGAGGAACTCGACTAGTTTCAAGCCATGCTAGAGGCTCATATTCATGAGCAGCATTTCGCGACGCGCGACGCGGCGACAGTTGCCGAAATGAGTGCTGCAATGAGTAAGCCGAAAACATAATCATTTATTTAGTATGTCTCACGAAAGTTACAATACAAATATGCTTATTCTTGTCGTAAAGAACTATATTCGATGGAGATGGCAGCAACGCTTCCAGATACACCTTATTTATAGCATAAGCCGGGAAACGAGCAGACGGACGATCACCTGATAGTAACCAATCGACGCTGCTCATAGACACCTGAAACACCAAGGCGTTACAAGTGCGTTACCGGCTTTTTGGGAATTGGGAATTTGAGGATTGTGGAGGATTCGGGGATTCGGGAGACTAGAGAGAGGGATGATTGGGCGTCCGGTAACCTCACGCACACGACGAAATACAACGCAAGCGTTGTTTCATGTCGGTTTACTATGAGGCCGTAGTATCACTCCGGTCGAGCCAGCCCATTCGTGCCGAAGCATGGTTCTCCCACACTTAAAACCTGAAAGTTTTTAAACTGTGATATCTAACCTCCATTCTGCTTTTCAAGCTTAGAAATAAAACCCTGTTGCGTAAGCGTTGCATGCCAGCACTATGGAATGTCACGAAATCTTGATGCTATGTTAAAAATACTGGTTAAGAATCAGTTATTGTATCTTCCAGATTAATTGATAAGGAAACTTAAGGGACAAGTTACAAAGTACAAAATATGAAAACGCCTCAAAAACTTGTCACATCTCAGATTACCTAGGAATTTTTAAATTTACTAGACTTAAATCTTTGACAGCGACGTCAACATTTAAAATAAAAACTTAGTGGAAACGCTATTCTTAATTTGAAGCACTCTGGAACTTAATCAAGCGAATAAAAATGAAAAGAGAAAGATGCAACGAGCTGGCTGGATGTGATTTTAAAATTAGAAGCTTGCTTTTGTTATTTTTTAAAATGAAGTGTAAGAAATGTTTTGACGTTCGAGATTCCGTTTTATGCTTTATATTTGCAACTAAACTCTTTGGGCAAATTTAATGTTTTCAACGCCATTTTTATCAAAGAAATAATGTTGAATATTTTAAAATTCTTACATACTAATTGTGTATTGTCAATTTTAATCAACAGATAAGAATTATTTGTTGATTGATAAATCAGCCTAAAATATTACATTTTAATAATTAAGTAGTCAAAATTATGCCCAGACTAAAGTATGGTGGTCCAATTGTAGAATATAGTGATCCACACCCATTATTCAAGCAGAACTATTTTTTAAGATATTCCCAGCAAACGTCGTGTCGTTTGTGGCCGGGAGGTTTAAGAGGCCCGCTGCTCGTGCATGAGGGTGCGTGTTCGAAACCTACCAACCGCAAGTACCAATAAGAGTTTTTCCGAGTCATATGTACTTTCTAAGATTATCTAGACACCACTGACAAACGGCAAAGGAAAACATCGTGAGGAAATCTGGGCTTATAATTTCTAATTATAAGTCTGTAACCGAAAACCTGCATTGAGCAAGCGTGGTGATTAATGCTTCAAACCTTTTTTCGAGTAAGAAGATGCTTTGCTCAGCATAGGGCATTTATAGCCTGTTGATGATAATTCCCAGCAAATATAAACAACTATACGTTTATTGCATCTTTATCCTTACTAATAATATTATAAATCGGAAAGTGAGTTTGTTTGTTTGTTCCACTTTCACACCGTAACTACTAAACCGATTGCTTTGAAATTTTGCAGGCGTAGACTTAGAAGTCTGGATTAAATAATAGGGTACTTTTTATCCCGGAATAATTTTATATTCTCGAGGGAAAACAAAAATATTGGTATAGATGGCGCTGTGTGTATTGGTATATGTCATATAGGCTACTTTTTATCCTTTTGTGACGCGAGCGAAGCCGCGGGTACGCGGCTAGTACTCAATATTTCGTAACAAAGAACAAACCTACTATCGTCAATAGTTAATAGTACTATAAATTACTAATTCTAAATTAATTAATTATATAATAATTATATTATGGAATTATTATATCACTCTTTTACAGTAGCCTAAAATATTAAAACCTAATGTTACGTACTACTAAATGTGAAAGTACCGCTACTAAATATTAATATTATAATGAATGTACAGTTGTAGGCAAATATTAATGTTGAATGTACAACAAATTATAATAAACACTGTAAATACATAATTACATTAAATTATTAGTAGTAGGAATATTAATGTGTGTTGAAAATAGCTATTAGTGTTTCAGTCATCCATAACTGCACGGTTTCTTCATGGTAATTTGACTGCATGGTTGGTGTGGTGGCTGGGCAACCGGCTGCCGTGCAACGTGTCGCGGGTTCGTTTCCCGCATGGAACAACACTTTGTGTGATCCACAAATTGTTGTTTCGGGTCTGGGTGACATTGTGTATGTGAATTTGTATGTTTGTAAATGCACCCACGACACAGGAGAAAATCCTAATGTGAGGCTACGTTAAAAAAAAAAACAAGTAATATACGATTTTAATTTGATACGTTTACATGTGTGGGAGAACCTTCAGAATGCTTCGGCTCAAATGGGCCGGCTCGACCGGAGTGATACCAGAGTCTCACAGAAAACCGACGTCAAACGACGCTTGACGATGTTGACCTTGACGACTTGTATTTCTTTGTGTGGATGAGATAACCGGAGGTCCAATTACTCCCCCCTTCCTCAAACTCAAAATTCTCTGAATTCCGAACAAACGTCAAAATCCTAATCCCCAATAGGCTGATAACTCACTTCTAACGCCTCGGATATTTCAGGTGTTCATTGACGAAGCCGATTGCTTACCATCAGGTGATGCGTTTGCTCATTTATCGGCTTAAACTGTCAAACACCAAGCGGTCACCGGTGACCGCAACCTATTGTTCTATAATTGTGTCTACAAAACCGGTACTCGACGAGTTAACCCATAAAAAATAAAGATGTACACCAATATTCCAATTTTGTTAACAATCCAGTTCCAATAGGGAATCCTACTAATATTATAATACAACTAAAGTCTGTGAGTATGTACGTGTGTGTGTGTTTTACACTTTCACGTACAAACTACTGAACGGGTTGAGCTGAAATTTAGAACAGGGGTAAATTATAATTCGGAATAACACATAGGCCACTTTTTTCATACGAAAACGCGAGCGAAGCCGCAGTTAGGTGTTAGTAGTTTATATAAGAAAGAAAAGGCATTTAATCGACAGTAGGCACGCACACAGATACAAAAATAATACAAAATTAAAAAAGAAAAGAAGAAATAAATACAGATTATTATACAGATAATACCAAACAATAATGAAAGCCAAAAAAAAAAAACAAAGAAATGATAAAGATAATAGTGGTGTGATGAGTCTTATACCATTGGGTGTTATTTTGCGGTTGACTAATGACAGTATATTTATCATTTCTATAACAATGTTATCGAACAGTTATTATACAGTTGAAGTATTTTTTGAAAATATTTGTTTTCAGGCTACTTATACGTCATTTCTTTACGGCGTCACATAATTAGAATAGTACTTGTGGTCGCATTATTTTAAAAGAATCACTTGTAGAAATCTTGAGGCTGTTGACTACTTAACTGGCCTAATCCCTACAGTGGCCTTGAAATTAAGACCTCAGCGAGAGTAACAAGCTCTAGCCCATTTTTTAAGGGGGGAAAATCATCGAATGTCTGCTCCCGCCTGGGTAAGGCGGGAGGGAGTGTCAGACTCTTACTGACTAAAAACCATCCCGTTCCTTCTCTTGCACGTCGAGCCGGAGCCCCGGTTACCCGTTAGGTTCTCCGCGGCTAGCCCTAGCCCTATCACTTCCCCTAGATACGTCACCTAGTTACATTTAGGTACACACACACACCTAGTTACATCAATAATTATAAATAGGTAGGTATGTTACTAGGTTCAGTGAGAGAACTAAAACTTACTTAACAACGTTATACAGTGGTCTGGATTCTCAGAAACACTTCGTGAACTGTGACAGTGCCATGGGAATAACTGAGCTTGAGTTATTAATTTGATCTGTCAAGTCTACACTTCGAGAAACAATGCTGTTGGCAGGTAGACACGGGTGGCTTGTTCTCTGTCCTGATTGGCTCTTTCTGGAAACTCTGTATTGATTGACGATGTTGTTACAGTTTTTCTGTTACAGTAATTGTGATTTTTTTATTGTTTAACGTTTGCCGATAATTTATCTTGATAGAGAATCGTTTGACGGCTTGCCATTCAAGACGCTTTATTTGTGAAATATGAAATTTCCAAGAGGGTCTACATTAAGGGTGTCTGTAAAGAGATTGGTGCAATTTTGTGTCTTATATGATATTAAAATTGTCATAATGGCAATGAGTTAGAGAAGTAGGTGTTACGTAAACATATGCAGGTTTCGCTTTTACTATTGTATGATGTTATAATTAAAACAATGTGTGTTAAAAATTCAGCCAAGATGACGGAGTTTTTGAAAAACTAAGGTTTATGCATTTTGTGTTCCATAAAATTCTTCATGATAATGTCAAAATATGTATTTATTTGCAAAGTTTTACATGGGGTATAAAAAAAATACAGAAACTTCTAAAATTGATTAATTATGAAGATAAAAAGAAGAGAAGTTCGTAAATTTTCGAAGTTCTCTTCTTTTAGCTTTGTTTAAAAATCACAACATAAGAAATATATAAAGATCATCACTATTTAGGCTTCACCCTTCCAGGGGTCGATTTCAACCAGGGTAAGGTGGAATCGCTGTCTTGTCAAACTGAAGTTGTTATCAGCAGAATGTCTAACCAAGGACATCAGCTCGTACATTCCACTCAGCGAGACATCAGCACCCAAGAAGCCAATGGCACAGCTGGTGAAAGGCTGAACGGCATCCAGGAATGTGATAGGTCCAGCTGGGAGCCTGTTGTTAGGGAAGGCTTCATAGGTCATGCCATTTGGGAAGATCACGTGGCAAGACTCCAAGAGGTCCAAGAAAGACTTCGGGATAGATAGGGACTTGCCGATGAGCTGGTTCGTTAAGAAAGTATGATGTTGATCTGGTAATGTGATTTGAGTGACTGCTTGGGCTGGAAAAAAGTAAAACAGCTATTAAAATACAATTAAACTGTCAAACACCGCGCGGTCACCGGTGACCGCAACCTATTGTTCTTTAATTGTGTTTATAATCGACGGACTGTCGACTGACGATCGTACTGACGGTACTCAACGAGTTAATATCTAAATCTGATGAAATGGAGACGAAGAAAAGACATCTAGTGTGACTATCAACTCAAGTGTGAGAGAGTCAAGCTTCGGCACGATTAGACCGGCTCGACTGGGTTGATACCACGGCCTTACAGAAAACCGACGTGAAACGACGCTTGCATTATGTTTTGTCGTGTGAATGAGGTTACCGAATCTTTCTTTTTATAATCTTAGCTGCATAGCTTCTCGTAACGCATGGAAAATTTCAAAATACTGCAACTGATTAGGCTGCGTAAATTACATTATTGTTACCCAATCAAACGCAATCTGATATAAAACTGTATGCGATGTTAAAGGACGATTAAAATTCTTATCGAATTTTATACATAGTTGCTTTTATTGTTAGGTACATATGCTTTACTATTTGCGATGGTAATAAAATACTTTATTATGGTAATGTCGATGTCAATACTGATTTTTATGACATATAAAGTTGTACAAACTGTACAAGTATAAACATAGTAACTAAAAACTGTACTCATAACGCAAAATCTAGCCAAAACATTAGAAAATTGGATGTTTTCGTTTCCAATTAAAATTTATAACTTTAAGCAAACCTATAATGGGGAATCGTTTTTAAAATAATTATTTTATGAACTACGTAGAAAAAACCGATGTCCAACCTCTCTTTTTTAAGTCGGTTAACTAATATGCTAAAACCTTCTCCGATATGTGTAAAAAACACTTATCTGAAAAGCGCATCAAAATCGGTGCAGCCAATCGCGAGATAATCACGCACAGACATACACAGATACATACAGTTCAAACTGACAATCTACTTCTTTTTGAAGTAGGTTAAGAAGATGTAAAAATTTACTAATGCTAAAAAATATCGACACAACCTACCCTGAGTCAAAGCCGCTGCGATCACGAACAAAGCCAACACCTTAGAGACCATTTTTGAAACCAGTTTAAAACTGAAGTTATAATCTTCAGCTTTACTTTATATAAATGTTCAGTAGTGTTGCCATCTGATTATTAAAACTAATCAATCATGTTGATCAACGAACATTCAAGTAATATGTGTACCGATAAAGTATTGGATCGTGATGTGTAGTCATGTACGTTTGTCTGTCAGGCTGTGAGTGGTTGCAAGTTGAGGAAAAAATAGGTTCCGATTTTTATCATAATATATTTGTTTACAATTTGAAACTGCAACTAACATAGTACAGCCAAGAATTAAATTCTAACTGTGTGCTAGCAAGGATTTTTAACTGGTCGAAAATGGGATACTTTTAGTGAAATGACACCTCTTATTTTGCCACATGGGATTGACAAAATGCATTGTTCTATCATTTACAAAAATGTAATGGCTTTGATTTTATCATCATCTAGTGCTAGACCTACGAAATAGGAATCTTGTTTTATAGTCTACTATATCGGGGATTTTTAACACAAGTATTATTAATTTAAGATAATCTATAGATGGCGTCGATTAGATCATATCAATTTTACGTGAGTTCCTTACCAATGATAAGAAGATAAAATTAAAGTTATCTCAATGTAACATTTAATTGGAACTGAAATAGTATTTTTGATTCGGTTATGTCATTTGTTACTGAGAGTGGTCGTATAAAGAATTATTTTAACGCCAACCTGTGTGTTGTAAGTTTAATTAATTGTAATATTTACATTATTATACACCGTCAGTCACTTCGCAAACATGGTCAAGTATGTATTATCTTGTTCAATAAAGATATAATCTATGTCCGCTTTACAGGAGGGCATTTACTGAAATAAAAAACACAAGATATTACTCGTCGTTGGCGCCATCTACGGTTCACATTATAGGTACGTCACTCTTTAGGTAATTTATGCAGTTTGGTGTAAGTACTAAAATAATTTTGAGATTGTATTATACAATACATAGTTATGTAATAATAATCTAAATGCTATATGAACATTATCGCATAACGTTTATGGACTGAAAATGACATTCAAAAAACTTATAGTAAACTTAATTGAAGCTCGGCATTTTTCTGTTCACTGGTTCGACTGGTGTTTATCTAGGGGGCCGTGTAGATAAATATGGCCTACCATGACAAAGAGTCTTCGTTTATTTTACTATTTTTTATAACATCTAACATATAGGCCCACCCTCTATTACATGGGACTCATAACAAAAATAGTGAAAAGTGGGTGTTACATTGTACAGTGGCATTAAGTGCCGTAATGTGCACCTCTGCCCAACCTTTCGGGGATAAAAAGGCGTGATGTTATGTAAAATTTTATGTTTTTTTGTAACTAACCACCCACTGTTTTATTTGACCTTGAACTATATAAATTTTCAGGAATAACATGAATCTACTCGCAGATGTTGTCCGAACTGCGCTGGGTAGATTATTGCATCCCACGCATTTCAGATGACCAATGACTGGCACTGGCATTATGCCGATACTTATTAACTATAGCCTATCAACGTTATTCAGGTAAGTATTGAATGAGTACTATTACTTAGAATTCGCGTTCCGCGCGCGCCTCAAAGAGCCATCAGACCACCACAGATAGGGCCCAATAGTGCTTATGCCGATTCAGAGCCGCGGAGAACTTAAAGGGTTACCGGGGCTCCGGCTCGAAGTACAGGAGTAGGAACGGGGTGGTTTTTAGTTAGTAAGAATCTGCCTGCCTCCACCCCTACACTCCCTTCCGCCTCACCCAGGCGGGAGAAGTCATTCGATGATAATACACCTGATTAAAAAAATACTTAGAATTACTAGTTTATTTTACCATTCACAATATTGTATGGAATTAGTGGTTATTTCTTTCGTTGCTACTATTGATATACATTCCTTATCAATTATTGTTTCGTATCATGATTTTAGATATTGCTTTTAGTAATTACTAGGCATGAAAATGCTTGGTTAAAATTTTGTCATTGGGCAGGCAATCTAAATTTAAAAAAATATTGGAATGTCTTGCACTGTTTTCAATTAATTGTAAAAGGTAGCATTTTACTGTTTTTAATGCAAAACCTACACGCTATATTTTCATATAGGTATTCAAAAAAGTAAGAAAAAAAAATAATATTCAACATTTTCTTAAATTACAATTTTGCGTTTCAGATTCTAGTTCACTTTCAAGGAACGTAAGGAACAAGAGTCACATGGAAGTGTGGTCGCGTCAAACTCCGACTGTTGTCAGCAAAATGGCGAAGCAAGGACATGAGCTTATAGGTTCTACTGAAACAGACATCAGCATTCAGAAAGCTAATACTGCAACCAACAAAACAGATAGCAAAAAAATATAGGACCGGGTGGTATCTTGACTTTTGAGAACGCTTTGTATTCCATTCAGTTGTCCCAGAAAGGCCTAGAGATCGATATTGGCCATAAGTTCAAGCTCAGAAATTCGCGGGTTCGATCTGATTAAACTATTTCCCTTTCTACATATGAAAATTAAAAATATACTTTTATATAATGTGTGCATTGTGTACCTTAACAGCAGTATATTCTGTACCTATTTTAAATTTAGACAGTGTTAATTCTCAAACATATTGCCACACAATCAATCAAATGGCCTAGCGAAATAGACAATGAGCTTATGACTATGAAACAGACCAAAGAAAACATATCAGTCAAAATATGAACAAACTTACTCTGGGCAAAAGTGACTGTAGCAAACAAACATAAATAAGAAATCTTAACTGCAATTTTGGAAACTATTAAATTATTATTTGTAATTCATGATCTATACTCATTTCCTTAAATAAATTCTCAGTGATACCGCTATCAGATTACTTATACTAATCTTTGATTAGAATTCTTATCTTATCTAGATTAACGATGATAGGTGTCAAACACAGATTTTTAAAGCGTCGCTTTTAATCCAAAATTTTTGAATTGGGATGATGATAGGGTATGTAAATTAAAAATGTAATGAATGTAATGAAAAAATATTAGACATGTATTTTTTAATTTGTCGTATAATAAAATAAAAATACATGTGTAATGATTTAAAATAATCTACCAGATGGACATTAAAATAAAAATTAGGCATCTACCCTATTGATCTTAAGATTTTGACCGACACATCATACGGCTTTTTTAAGAAGGAAAATCATCGTACGACTTCTCCCGCCTGGGAGAGGCGGGATGGTGATAGTAGTAGTGGTGGAGTGTCAGACTCTTACTGACTAAAAACCACCCCGTTTCTACTCCTCGAACCGGAGCCCGTTAAGTCCTCCGTGACTCTGTATGTGACATCAGCCAACACAAATTGTATACGAGCCAAAATATTGGACGCATGACTTCCTTGGACTCGGTATTTGTGTGTTATACAGTTAAAAACAGTCGCGGAGAACCTAACGGGTTACCGGGGCTCCGGCTCGAAGCGCAGGAGAAGGACCGGGGTGGTTTTTAGTCAGTAAAATTCTGACACTCCCTCCCGACTCACCCAGGCGGGAGCAGTAACTCGATGAATTTCCCCCCTTAAAAAAATAATTGATGACACTATGTACAGTTTCGTTACAAAAAATTGCTTCTATTCCACGGGCGGCCATGTGAACTAAGTCTAATCTTAATAAAATAAGTTCAATTAATGAGATTTGTTATTATTTTCAGCTGTTAATCAGTCAAGTAGTTTCATCTAGTGAAGATGGTGGCATATGTAAATAAAACAATCTAATTTTTCTTTGTCGTGGTTATCTCTACAGATTGCAAATTTGCCATATAATATTATAATTATATTCTCTTTGTGTATATCATGTATGTATATCAGCTCATTTCTGTCTACATAGGACATGAGCCTCTAAAATAGCAAGTCAGCCATAGAACTCGATCTTGACGTCATCACTGACGAACACAGCTTTTTTTACTTGGACCTACCTTATTATTATTATTTAAGACTGAATAAATTATGTATCAGTATAATCATTAATTAGACTGCACGGTTGGTGCGGTGGCTGGGCAACTGGCTGCCGTGCAACGTGTCGCGGGTTCGATTCCCGCACGGAACAACACTTTGTGTGATCCACAAATTGTTGTTTTGGGTCTGGGTGTCATTGTGTACGTGAACTTATATGTTTGTAAACGCACCCACGACGAAAAGCCTAGTGTGGAACAACGTTTTAAAAAAATACATAAAAATGGATTATTCTTCGTCTTATTCATACTTTACATTAAAATAAAACAGATAAATATAGTCAAATAAGCATGTAATTTAATTTCCGAATCAGTTTTTTAAAAACATAGTTCTCCGGTGACTAGAAAAATTGACTAGATTTTTTGGTCGTCATCAGCTTGCCAGAGTTCGGACATGGTGATAACTATATTGAAACGCTGTCGAGTCAGAGTGAACGAAGCATCAGTATGGTTAACCAACGACATCAGTTCATAAACCCCACTAAAAGATTCTGGAGGGTGGAGGAAACCAACTCCACAAGCAGTAAAAGGTTGGACAGCTGGAGTGAACGAGATGGGACCAGCAGGAAGGTTGTTGTTAGGGTAGACTTCGTAGGTAAATCCGTTGGGGTAGATGACGTGGCAACTTTGGAGAATGTCAAACCAAAATTTGGGAATCGATATTCCGAAACCAATGAGCGGGTTTGATATGTGGTTGCGGTTTTCATCTGGCAGCGTGATTTGAGTGACTTGAGCTGGAAAGAGACAAAAAATTATATAGTGACTGTAAAAATTAAAGTTAGGACTAGGACTGTATGTATTCATTTTGCTACTGTTTCTATAAATATCTCGGGCTATTTCCTTGTTATAAAATACTTAAATCAAGTTAGGAACGTTTTAATAAAATATAAACAGATACCTTTTCGCCTACCACTAACCTTTTTAAAAAGTAAAAATAATTATGTAATAAACAAAATATAGATTTCGTCGTTTATTGTCACCACAAATTACGTTTTTAGATTGCTCATCTATGAACATGTTCACAAACTATTTCGAGTAATATAATTCTCATATAAAGTTTATATTCTTTGTTAAATAAACTGCATCTGGTAAATTGCATTCCGATTGTACCATTGTACAACTGACACACATTTAATTATATCATTATTAGTCACTGAAATTCTTTGAATTATAATAAAAAATGTCTTCCTTACCTTCGGCCAAAGCGGCCACAACCACAAGCAACACTAATAGCTTCGCCGTCATTTTAGGAATGTAAGTGTCAAAGTATGACTTCATTGTTTTTATAGAGATCTGCTAAAGGATTGACATCTGATAAAAATTATAAATGAATTGTAATCTCTTTTTCCTTGCCTCTATCTAATTGAATGATAAATTAACATTTTTAATGTCCACGTTTATAATAATTATTGTGTTCGTCTGTTTATTTAAAAACACTTAAAAGTCTTACGCTTTTAATGTTTTGAAACTAGGTATAGGCATTTATGAGACGTCAAATTAAATTGTCCGTCAGTCTGTCCATCGGTAAAGTAAAGTGTTTGCTCCAAAATGTAGATTCGTATATTGCAGATTATATTTATCAAATGCATTTTTATTGATTTTGGGCGAAGCTCAAAGTCGCTCAGCGCGAGATAGAGAGAGCTACGCTAGGGGTTTCGTAGCGCGACTAAATCCGAAATATAGAAATTCGCCAAAGAACTAGAGTTACTGACATAGTTCGCAAAATCTGCAGACTGAAGTGTACCCGGTATACCCGGTATGTAGATGAGCCAGGAAAGTCCTTGTGTGGAGATCACGGACCGGAAAACGAAGCGTATGGGCAGGTATCCCGCTACGCGCCGGACTTCAGTGTTCCGGTGTTTTCGTAGTTGTACTAACTGTATCCTGGCTTACAGGAGTTGTAGCTGTTTTAGGAAGTTGTGGCGGGGTTGTCTCATAAAAAAGGTCTCCCGCTAGGTGGATCGACGACATCGCCAGAGTTTCGGAGAGCCAGTAGATGCAGGTGGCGAGTTGTCGTTCGACGTGAAAGACTAAGAGGGACGCCTTTGTCCAGCAGTGGACGTCTTTCGGCTGTTGATGATGATGATGATGATGATGATGATGATAGGTGAAATAGTTACTGGCAGATTAATCTTTTTTAAAAGGCTGGCACCGTACTTGTGCTCATCCGTTGCTGCTACTGTATAGCGTCTGATCGCTCACTTAAACTTTCCAGTTTTTAATCTGTCTTTATTGTTGTATTACAGCATTTAATTCATAACATAACATAACATCACGCCTTTTTATCCCCGAAGGGGTAGGCAGAGGTGCACATTACGGCACTTAATGCCACTGTACAATGTAACACCCACTTTTCACTATTTATGTTACGAGTCCCATGTAATAGGGGGTGAGCCTATTGCCATATACCAGGCACATTTCTAGACTCCGTGCTACTATTGAGATTTTTAAAAACCCAGTAATACTTTGCCCGACCCGGGAATCATACCCGAGACCCCTTGCCGGCAGTCGCACTTGCGACCACTCGGCCAATGAGGCAGCATTTAATTCATATATAGTAATTTATGTATATTAAGTAAACAAAAATGCTTTGAAAATTAAAAACATCACTTTCTACAACATGCATAGAAAACTACATAGACATAGAAAACTACATAAAAAGACATAGAAAACCGACGTGAAGCAACGCTTATGTTTTGTTTCCCCAATCCCTGAATCCCCAACGATCCTCAAACTCCTAATCCCCAAAAGGCCGGTAACGCACTTGTAACGCCTCTGGTGTACCAGGTGTCCATGGGCGACGCCGATTGCTTACCATCAGGTGATCCGTCTGCTCGTTTACTGGCTTATGCCATAAAAATGCATATATAAGCATATAATAAAAGATTTACAACTCAAAATAAAAACCAGTACTAAGTTTGGGAACCTCTGGATCAAGATTAAACAAATCAATATCAATATAAAGTTATCAGATCGCCAGAATATAAACCTGCCCTTTCCATTACATTACAACAATTAAGATTCCCGCACATCACGAGATTTTATCAAAATTACGTGAGTATCAGTACGTGAGATAAATGAATTTAATATTGATGTAATTGCGCATAAGAACTGTTATCGATTCAGTAACTACCTATAAAACCAAACTATCTACTGTCGATAAATTATTTTGAAAGGCTAGATTCATGTTATTGATGTCTGAATCGAGACTGGTTGAAACTTGAATATAACTCAGTATTATCATGAAGATACAGAAATCACTTTTTTATTAATGATAATAATATCACCAATTTTATTCTTAGGCAGACATATTAAAGGTAACAATAATTTACCTTGACGCCTCGTTGCCCGAGTGGTCGTAAGTGCTACTGCCGGGCAAGGGGCTTCGCGTTCGATTGCCGGGCCGGGAGTTATTAAAGTATTATTGGGTTTAAAAAAAAATCTTAGTAGTAGCACGGAGTCTGGAATTGTGCCCGGTATATGGCAATAGGCTCACCCCCTATTACATGGGAATCATAACATAAATAGTGAAAAGTGGGTGTTACATTGTATAGTTGCATAATGTGCACCTCTGCCTACCCCTTCGGGGATAAAAGGCGTGATGTTATGGTACGTTTTGTTATGTAATAATTCAGCCTTTTGCCAGATTTGCATTTAAAGCTATTTGCTAACATTGGACACTATTCCCTGTTTGCAACTACTTCGTAGGACTTGAAATTTCTTGGGTATCACCAATTTTATTTATATAATATAATTGTTGAGCCGACGTTTAGCTACACGATATATACTAGTTATCTCGCCTGTTAGTAAGCGATGAGGTGGCATAAGATTATGTCATGTCTGCCCATGCCTATGCCATAAGCAACCTATTCACTTGAGCCTTGAAGACACCCAGATTTACCCCTCAGGAAACATAGACTCTAGAAAAGAAACAAAATCAACAAGGTAGTAACACAATTAAAATAACTTCAAAATACATAATTGAATGTGAACATAAATAAGTATCCAGTATTATTATTATTATTTTTATGGCCGGTAAACAAGCAGACGGATCACCTGATGATAAGCTATCGGCGTCGCCCATGGACACCTGGAACACCGGAGGCGTCACAAGTACGTTACCGGCCTTTTAGGGATTAGGAGTTTGAGGATCGTTGGGGATTCAGGAAATGGGGAGATTGGGGAAGGGGAGGGTAATTGGGCCTCCGGTAACCTCACTCACACGACGAAACAAAACGCAAGCGTTGCTTCACGTCGGTTTTCTGTGAGGCCGTGGTATCACTCCGGTCGAGCCGGCCCATTCGTGCCGAAGCATGGCTCTCCCATACTTAAAATTTATTATTCAGTTTACGGTAAATCCAATCTGTTGGAACAAACAAATTAACAGATATATAATAATGTTGTATAGCTACAGTATAAAATATTGGGAAAACGTTTACTATAAATTGTGATCGCAGGTGTGTGTTGCGTTAAACCTGACCACGAGAGGTACCGCAGAACAATTTTATAGCAAAATATTTATAAAAAATATGCAATAAATTGATGTAGGTAAAACATGTTTCAGGAGAAAATAAAATACTTTGTTCATTTTTATAGTGCATTTCGTAATATTGTTCAGTATTGCAAGTCTGACTGCATTACCACAGTAGACGGATGATGACAGGGTATAAAAATTAAAAATCTTATTAGTCCGTAAGTCAGGTAATGAAAAAATATCAGACAGGCACGTTTTTTTTATTTTGATGTATTATAAAATTTAATGATAAGTAGATGTAACGAATCAAAGTTTTGGAGTGGGGGCTAAAACGTCATTTCTACGTATAAAATGTACATAGAAGTGACGTCACGCGACATTTCAAATCAATATATCGGCGAAAGTATTCGTTTCTGTAAAAAAGTAAAAAATACGTGTGTGTAATGTTTTAAAATAATCTACCAGACGGACATTAAAATAAAAATTAGTCATCTACTCTATTCAATTTTGAACAGCAATTTTGAATTAGGTTTTTACAATGTGGCGCTCTAGACAGACATAAACTGACCAAATTGGTGATATATTAAAGAATAAGAGTACCCTTAACCGACGACCATGCATGAAAGACTGATGATTGTTGATGAAGCGAAAGAGGTATGTAAGAATCGTAGGAATTGGCGTTTCATAGTCTCTATCTACCCTCATTGTGGACAAGCGTGAGGTTATGTATGTATGTACTATGTGGTTTCGATTTCAGTTATAAGTAAACTTATTCAGATTATTCTAGATTATAAAAAGATAAAGATAGAAGAAAAAAGGAAACGATGACGTTATATATGAGAAATTGTTTGACTAATAGTCAAAACAGCAATTCAGTTTACGAAAAACACACTTTTGTTAAAATAAAATTCGTCCCTGAGTGTGTTTTTTAGGATAGTCTAAAAAGCACACTTAGGGACAAATTTTTGTATAAATGATAATAGTATCATATCAAAATTTTATCTTATATCTCCAATCATTATGTAGCTCGCTTGCTTATTGCTTCATAGTAAGTAAATATTTTTATTACTTTGTAATTTTGCTCAAACATTTATCGTCAAAATGACTTACTTATCTTTATTAATTTTCGAATATACATGTCGACAGACCCTGTGAGTGATTGTGTTACATTTTTATTTGTTATTGAAAAAAAGACCAATCAAAGTTGTAACATAACGCTCAACAGAGCGGCGCTATTAAACAAAGCGAGTAATTTGACAACAGTACAAAATCAACTGCATGGAAAACAAAAATAGTAGGTTCACTCAGAAGCACAAAATTTCACCGAACTTTCTATAATTTAAAAAAAAATGTTCCTTAACAAAAATTGCTCTCATTAAAAAAGTAACTAACTAACTAATAAGTAAAAAAGTCGTGGTGGCCCGGAGGTTTAAGACGCCCACTTCTCATGCATGAGGGTGCGGGTTCGAAACCTACCAACGGCAAGTACCAATGTGACTTTTTCCGAGTTATATGTACTTTCTAAGATTATTTAGACACCACTGACAAACGGTGAAGGAAAAACATCGTGAGGAAACCTGGACTTATAATTTCTAATTATAAGTTTGAAATCGCCAACCCGCATTGAGCAAGCGTGGTGATTAACGCTCTAACCTTCTCCGTGTGAGAAGAGGCTTTGCTCAGCAGTGGACATTTATAGGCTGTTGATGATGATGATAAGAGTAACTGAATTGTCTTTTATACGACATGTGTGACGTCAAGTGTGGGCGAGCCATACTTCGGCACGAATGGACCGGTTCGACCGG